CGCCCGAGGCTTGCGCCGAGGCCTCAGACGAAAGGCCAAAGCTCTCCGCCCAGCCGAGGCCCTCTCATGAGGCCCCGCCTCTAAGGCCTCGGACGGGATACCAATTCTTCGATTCGCCCGAGGCCGGGCTCGGCGGCAACAACCTCGTCACCTCCGTCCCGACCGACTCTCTCGACAAAACGTCCACGACCGATTAATCGCGCCCAACTACTCCCGCACGTTAGCCGCATGTTGGTGCAGTACAGGCAGAGTGACCGACGGGACAGGGACCGGGCGCAGCAGGGGTTACTCGCCATCGCGCTCATCATCATGCCCCCTGCGACACTCAGTCGCTCAGGCTACCTAACTCCTGCGATAAGGACAAAGCGGCGTGGAGGGTCAAGTCTGGGTCCCTGTAGTCTCGGAATCAGCATGAAAGACCAACTGCTCGTCCTCCGCCTCGTCCGAGACCCCCCGGCAGGGCCTCGGACGTACTATTCCTTCTCCGCCTCGGCCGAGGCCGAGCTCGTCCCGCATTCTCGTCGCCTCTGCCTCAACCGTCCCTCTGGCGAGCCGTCCCATCCGTTTAAGTGCGCCTGGTCACACCTACTACGCCGACCACGACCGGGCGGTATGCGAATAGGGCGATGGAACAGCGGTCAAATCTCCTTTTTACCATCCCTACTGATGGTGCAGGGATTACCGTGCCCTGTGGACACATGCTCCGCACTTTTCCACCTGAACCGGGTACGACGCTGACCACCAAGACCCCCGCATCATACACGGGTCACCTCCAATGCCTCGGCAAAGCAGGCCTCGGCACGATCAGCTACAGCACCCGCCAAGCCTCGGCACTCCCCCGAGTCAAGAACCTCGAGCCTAGCCAAAGACGACGCCACGGCCAGTACCGATCGCTCGCCGTTCCCAACACCATCTTTGCTCAGAGGATCAACTACAAGAGGGCTCCACGTGCAGCTCACTCATGTACTCCTGGCTCCCTCCTTGCGGCTATAAAAGGAAGCAGCCAGGGATAGCTCTAGGGGGGCAACAAAAAACATACGAAAGAACCACGCTCTCACACACGCCCAAGCAACACTCTGTAACACACGCGCTCCCAAGCTGCCTAAGAGCAACGTCTCAAGCAGCCCGCACCATTCCACACCGGGACCTGGGACTAGCTCCCTCTTTCACCCAGCTTGTAACCCCCTACTACAAGCACTTCGGTGCAAGGAATACAAGATCGATCTCTCAGACTGGACGTAGGGCACCAATTGCCTGAACCAGTATAAATCTTGTGTCCCTTTGTATCACCATCCGGAATTGGGGGCACGCAGTTCAAATTCACTGGTTGGTTGGGGACCCCCCGGTCCGAAACAACGACAATATTCAACGATCTACCTAATGATACTAATTATATATTATAAATATTAATAATTTTTTATATATATTTGATCAAAGTTAAAAATGTTTGACTTCTCGAGGCGAGAATGACATATATTTTGGGACGGAGGGGGTAGGTAGCTAGTAGGCTATTTTTAATAAACTTTAGAGTCTACTGCTCATTCAAAAAATGTTTGCAATACTCTTTAAATGTGTTTGTCTCATATTTTAGTAAATTATATATTTGTATGGTAATATATACTACATTTATATTGTTAACAAAAAGTTTATATTCAATCGGACCACACTAGGTTAAAATCCTAGCTACGCCACAGTATATTTCACTGTGTATATAACAAGTATAGTTCAATGCATGAAGTGTTGGTGTGTTTTTCTATAAACTTGGTTAAGGCTATAATATTGTAATTTATAAACTAAAATAGCTTACAATTGGTAACGGATGTACTACAGACACTAAGATATGGCTGTCAGGCACAATCTAGTAGTCCCTCTATCCCCGAATAAATTAATTACTAGAGTTGTCTTAAGTCAATATTTTTTTGAGTTTTTGACCAGATTTATAGGGAAAACACCATTATTTATGATATCAAATTAGTATCATTAGATACATAATAAACTATAATTTATTCTAGGAATTATCTTAAGTTAATCTTTTTTAAGTTTGACTAAATTTGTAGAAAAACATCAATACTTATGACATAAAACTAATGTCGTTAAATATACAATAAACTATATTACAAATAGATATACTTTCTTTTATAAATTTGGTAAAATAAAAAAATTGACTTAAGACAAATTTAAGAATTAATTTATTCCGGGACACGGAGTATATGTGCATCACAACCAAGACGCGATGACGGATAAATAGATGTCCCAATACGCTCCAACTGCAACCTATATAAGCGGCAAAACTTTACAGAACGAAGCACTGTACTGTGCCTCACACGCGATCCACGCTGTACGTAGTAGTATATCCAAGCTGCACGCCACGTATGATCCATCCAATCCAAGCAAGCCGAGGTCGCCGGGCCCTACCGCCGCCGGCCCGCGCACCACGTAGAGAGGCCGCTCCGTTTTGGCGGTCAAAAAGGTCCAGCCGCCGAGGCATCGATGATGGATCGAGCAGCAGAGCCATGCCCCGGCTGGAACTGGCCCCGGGGCCGCGGCGGCGGCGGCGGCGATCTGCCCTTGGGGGTGTGGGTGGGTCGGCAAGACGGCAACCGGGGCTCCCGGCATGATGGCGCGCACGGCGCACCAGGCCAATTCCCAGGCGTGGCGCACTTTAGCCGACCTGCATGCGTATCCCATTCATCCAACGCCCCTCTAAACTGCCAGAAACACCGGTGCAGCGGTCAGCGGTGACACACGGGAACGGGCCCCCGGCCCGGGCACGGACAACTCCCGTCGCTGTCCCCGTCCGTGCGCGCTGCCGGACCCGGACCCATCGATGCATCCCCTGGGCCACCAATGCCCCCGTCGCTGCCGAGACCCCCGTCGCGGCGCCGGATAAGGGTCGCTTGCGGTTGCGGCCCGCCAGCCACGCCGCCCTCGGCACGTCCGCTGCGGCCGTCGAGTCAGCCGCTGATTCGGCGAAGGAGCGGAGGCCCTTGCGGTTTCGGTTCAGAGCACCTGGCGCTTCCATTCATTTCCATCCACCTGGCTGTTGTTGAAAGCGTCTGTGGCTTGGGTGCAGGCGGCAACGAGGACTTGGCTTGGGTTTATCTGGATGACCGGATCGGGGCACAGCAACTGCAAGGACAGCAGCCGTACGTGGACCTGGCATGTTCAACTCGGCTTCAACTTCCGCAGAGGACTTGGGCGATCGAGGTTGTCGTCCAGTCCATCCTCTATCGGTTATCACCAAGTCCCATGATGGTTCAGGTTGTGGTAGCCCAGGCTCCAGGCAGAACGGCACCTAGTTACTGTACTGTGGCTAAAACTACACCTTACAGCTCGTCGCAGATTCACGACAGTCGTGCTCTGAACAAGTAGTCTTCCTTTAATTTGGTACGACTAAGTAGTCGAGTTAGATGAAGTTGGGTTGGGCTAGCTTAGCAACGTTTGGTCAACCTTCCAAGACTTTGGACTCAAGTTAGATAAGGCCGCTTACTTACAATTCGTCTCTCCTCTCCGGTTCTCCTCCAGTCGCTTCCCAGAAAATCCAGCCAACTCTTATCTATCTAGAAAAAATCAAGGCAAGACACGGGATCGGAGAGGCGTCCACCAAGTTGGCGTTGGGGTTGGGCAGTTGCTTGCTCCCAAAAACGCATAACCGGAAGGGGAAAGGGACAGGATGCAGTCGAGCACAAACCGCTATACCGAACCTCCCCACCAGTCACGGCAGGCAGGCCGCCCAGCCACGGTGGTCCACCCGGCCCCGGCCCACCCTCGTTGCCTTCGCCTGCAGCCCATGCTCATTCCTTCCGTCAGCTGGGACCGGACCGGAGGCCCCGCACGCGACACGCTCACGGCATACGGTCCACGTTTCCTGGAGTCCGCTGGGAGCGTTTCCCGCCATTCTCAGCGAACTCTGCACAAAACCACGGAGGCAAAGCAGGGCGGGTTGCATCATGCCACCGTCATCCTCCGTTAAAATATTCTTATATTCTTCCCTAATCACATTCCTGAGCTTTACACATGGTGCAGAGTAGGCGCGCATTCGACAAAAGAACACTGTACAGACCACGCTAGAACACATGGCGCACGGTACGCACAGAGCCGAGGTACTTCGACACAGCGAGTGCGGACGTCAACTTACAGTGGCCCGCCTGCCAGTGGCCGTGCGCAGCAATCATCGGCGGAGCCCGCGCGGGCGGTCGGTGTCGCGGCTCACCGGCCCGTCTGGTTGCATCTGGTGCAACCGTGCAGATACGTCCTGTTCGCTTATAAACGTATTTTTTCAGCCAATGAATAATATTCTTCTCTTACGATAAATTAGCGAACCGTATTTTCAGAGCGAAGACAACAGCCAGACGTACGCCGGCGGCGCCATCACGGGGGGACTAGACGGCGACGCCCGTGGGAGGGAGGTCCAACGGCGCTTGCGCGCCTCGTCTGCTGGTTCCACAGCCGCCTCGCGCTCGCGTCATCGCTTTCGAAACCGTCGCCGTCCCCCTCGCTCGCTTTCCCTCCTCCAGGCTCCAGGTCCAGTCCAAGGCCAGGCCTCTCCGCATCCACGGTTCGCGTTCGCTCACCTTCCCCTCCAAACCCAAGCCAAGCCCAAGCGGCCAAGCCAGCCTCCTTCTCTCTCGGACCGGTCCCCTCTGGTCCGGCCTTGAGCGAGTCTTATCCTTTGCACTCCCGCGCCGCCCTCGTATAAGTAGCCGCGCTAATCATTCGAATTCCCAACGCCCCAACACGACCGAGCACTTAAACATTATTGCCCTCAAGAGCTTCGCGGCGCGAACGTCGAGGAGCTTCCGGGAGCAGAAGGGTACACCAGCAAAGGCTCCTGCTTGCGTAGGCGAGTAGCGTAAGATTCTACAACTTCTTCCAAGGAAAGGAAAGGAAAGGGAAGGCAAGGGAAGGGAAGGGAACGTCCGAGCAAAGAGGGCGGTTGAGGCTGATCGGCTCATCGATCGATGGCGGTGACCGCGACTACGGTCGCGGCGGCGACCACGATGCTGGCGGCCGTGGCGGCGGTCTTCCTCACCCTGGTGCTCTGCTTCTACATCTTCCTCTGCGCCAAGCGGTACCGCGGCGGGGCCCCGCCGCCGCCGCCGCAGGCGGGCGGCGTCAGGGCGTGGCTGCGCGTCGTGTTCGGCGGCGGTGGGACACGCCCGGACGGCGGCGCCCCGGAGTGGTGCTACGACGGCGGGCTCGACGAGAAGTCCATGGCGAAGCTGCCCCGGCGGGAGGTGGCCAAGGGCGAGGCGCTGGACTGCGCCGTGTGCATCACGGAGCTGGCGCCCGGGGAGACGGCGCGCGTGCTGCCGCGGTGCGGCCACGGCTTCCACGTCGACTGCGTCGACATGTGGCTCCGCTCCCACTCCACGTGCCCGCTCTGCCGGTGCCCCGCCGTCGACGACCCGCCCGTCCCGCCCACCGTGCCCACGCCCGAGGCCGACCCGGAGTCCCCCAACTTCCCCACCAACGTCCTCTTCTTCGGCTCCCAGGACGAGGTCAGCACCGGCCGCTCGCAGTCGCAGCAGCACTCGGCGGCGACGCCTGCTCTGCCGGCGCCGCCGCAGGAGCACGCCGCGCGGGCATGCGACGGGCTGCGGAGGCTGATTGGGTGTGGCGGCGCGACGCCGCCCACGCAGCCGCCGCATCGTTGCGATCATCGTCAGCACCATCATCAGGAGGAGGACGCGGGCGGGGACATCGAGATGGGCCTTGCCGCCGCCGGCGGCGAGAGCAGCGCGTCGTCGCGGCCGGTGAAGCCGCCGCAGCCCGGTTCGTGAGGCTGCTTTGGTTTCTTTCGTGCCGTTTCCTTGTGTGTGACATCACAAGTTTTGCCTCCCTTCTTCGCGTCGCGTGCGTGTTTTCCGATAGGGAGAGAATGATCAATCAACCAAAAAAAAAGTGAGAGAGAAAATGTACAGATTCTTATAGCCGTCTGATGTAAATTCCTCGTGTGGATAGAGCATGAACTGGGGAGAGAAATCGAAAGCAAAAAAAATCAAAGCTTGGACGTCCACTCCTGCCGTTGTTGCCTGCAGTTGTTCTCGCATGCAGTGAATTCAGCAGTCAGTTACTTTCAGTTTCGTCGTCTGCTGCAGCAGCTGCAATGCAATGCAAGCTACGGCTTCCAGTTCCGGTAAATGAAGGCAGGCCGCAGTAGCCAGGAGTAAATAATCCATTCACCTTTGGCCAATTTGTTCTGTCCATTCACCTTTGGCTCTTGCGTGTCTATGTTGTTTTGACCACAGGCTGCCGCTGTCAAACAAACCTGTCGCCCATCGCTCGCCCCCAAGCAAGTCACGACGCCGCATTTGTCAGGAGGCCGGGGACCTCGCCCCGTACCCGCCAAAACTGCAGATTTGACGGCAGATAAGCTGAGAAGAACATGTGTGTCTGACCGCACCCTGTTCCTTGAACTCCCCACACCCACAGGTAGGTTGGGGTTGTGTACTTGTGTTGTGCCCGCAACGCCCTGGCCAATGACCCAATGCGCCATTACCAACCACCGCAGCCACCTGATGCACTACCAAAACACCAGTTCCATTGAAAACATTCTCTGCACTTGTTTCCTAAGCGACTACTCAGTCTGAACCACCAGCCGCAAGAATCCAACGCAGCCAATGGCATAATCCTGCATAATTGCATGCTTTGCTTCTTTATTTCAGAACACAATGTTTTGCCCAGTAACTGCGTCATGCATTGTGGCTTGGCTGCATCAGTTGTATGTCCAAAGGAACGAAGCGAGTTGACCCGAAAGGAGAATATAGTTGAGTTAGCAGCAAGCATGGCCGGGCCAGGCAGGTGGCCGAACAAGCAACAGCACCAGGCCACCAGCGAATGGAGACGGTCGATGAGCCGATCGCCCAATCCGCCAATCGCCTGCATTATCATCATACTAGACGATACCAAACTCTGCTCTGGAAAAACAAATGAGACGATTGATGTCCGTGACGCCACACGATCGATGTGGATTTATGCAGCAGGAAGGAAACTTGGGTTTGCTCAACCGAAACCGCCACAACGGATAGGCACGCACCAACGTGTCGCGCTCGTGGGGGCATAGATAGCAGCCATAGCCCATAGCTCGCAGTCAGGGCAATTCTTCTTCTTTTTTCTTCGCTTTCGGAGCGAGCGATTTCGCCGTCAGAACACACACACGCGAGGACAAATGCGCACGCATCAGCACCGATACTAAAGCTTCCGTGTCCCTATACATTTGCATCATGCATCCGCTGCGTATTCTTGCGTTTCGATCTTTTTCTCCGTTGTTTGTTCATCTCATGATGGGTTCTCTCTTGCAGACATGTCAATATATAAATCCTATATCATCCTGCTCGCTGCAGTCTTCGACCTACTCTTCGTCATCATACTGCAATACCTGCAACCCTTGAATGATGTGGCGTTGCCCTTGCTTACCGATATCGTTAACACCTTGCTTCACGAGCTCCTTCTTCAGGCTTAAATCCAATCACGAGGAGGCTGGCTTTCTTGAAGGTTCATCGATATCTTATCTATCTACAGCCTACAGGTTCCTTTGCCCCCATGATTTTTCGTTGTGTCGTAGTAGTAGTATAATCTGATGCTGTCCTTTGAAGATAAAAGGATTCTGAAGATGTGGCAGGGAGGGGCAGAATAAGCTTGAGATTCCGGGCGTGTCAGGAATATAATATCTATATATCTCTCCAAAAGGATTGACAATTGCGATTATCCTTATCCACGATTGCGTCGCTTTCCTAGTTGGACATGCTTACACGCGGGAAGGCTGCAGCAGTTGAAACATTGTTTGTCTGACAAAGATGACCTGGAAATAGTAGCAGTCAAGTTATTATGCCCTGTTCGCTTGGCTGATAAGCCATGACTAAAAGTATTGTTGGCTGATTTGTTATGAGAGAAAGTACGACTTATAAGCCAAGCGAACAGGGCGTACGCTATAGCAGCTTTTCATGGATTTCCTCATGAACTTACAACGGTAAGCCATGTTGACCTTTTTCTACAATTTTATGAGACCGTGTTATTTTATGGTCGGCTAGGCATGGTCGCATGGAGAATGGACGACATATGCCATGGCTGAGCCTGAATTTGATTTGAATTTGTCAGCCATGAACTCCCTGACGGGTTTGGTTCATTCCCAACAAAGGGCACGCCTGAATATATGGTGCCAAGATTAAAGATTCAGTATTTGCAGCAGTTTTTGATAAAAAAGAAGAAGAAAAGTTCTATTGTAATCGAATCCTGCGAAAGCCAAACTGACCACATTGAAACTCTCGCGATATCTCTGCGTTTGAAGGACGCCAAACTTGTTTATGCTTTCACCTCCATCATGATCCATGACACGTTCTGCATCTGGTCTTGAATATTCCGAGCGAATCCAGGCGGAGGGTAGCCGTTTTTTACGCTCTGGCCTCTGGTGTGCAGCGCACGCGGGGCCGCCTTTGTTCTCGATCCCTTGAAAGCAGGACGCAGTTGCAGGCATGTGCAGCAGAACCGGAAAACAACAAACAAACGCACGGGCACAGGGCAGCAGGCAGGCAGGCAGGCAGCAGGCTCTGAATTTTCTGAAACGACGGACAGCACATGACCATCATCAGATGAGATGCAGGCCCACTGATTACAGGGATGCCTTCTTTTGCGGGCGCCGGCGCCGGCGCCGCGACAGCCTTTCTTTTCTTTTCTTTTTTCTCGAGTGCCACCATTAAAATGATGGGGGTCACCGGGTCAGAGTCCCAAAGCCTGTTGATTAGGGCTGCTTTGTCTTTGACATCACCATTAGATAGTGCACTACGCGCATTATAATGGGTCAAGGGGACAGAGAGCGCCTGCCTACATTATACTTGTGGTCTTGGAATCTGTTTGGAGCTTGGGAGAATAAAGTACAAGTGCTCCGTATATCCTTGCGGTCTTGCAGAATAGAGAACAGTCGCACCGTCCCAACGACGGCGAAGAAGTGTTCCGGAGGGAGAAACCTAGGACTCGTCCAACCACTATTGTTGCATCAGATGGGGGCTGGCCACCGGCTGGGGCTGCTCTTCCGAATTGAGAATTCGGACAGCTTCTGGCTGCGCTTTCGAAGCTTCCTACCCTCTCGTCACTGTGTCAACACAGAGCTGGCGTTTGCCGGCGGGATCTTTTCTGCATGCGCGATGCGAAGAGAAAAAAGGGGGGAAAATAGAGCCGTCCACGTGGAGGGGTTCGTGGTCGGCATGCAGATGCACAGCGAGGCACCGAAACGTGCACGCCGACTACCCAACGTCGCGCCAGGTGCGAGGTGGGCGGGGAGTGGAACGCTGGAATCCGTCCTGCGTCCTGGTACAGGTGGCACCGGCGACCGCGACGCGCAGCCACCGGTGGAGCACTCGTGTTGGCGAGCATGTGCTCTGTTCGTTTGATAAGTTATGGCTGAAAGTGATTGTTGGCGGAGAAAGTATGGTTTATAACTCAAGTGAACAGGGCGATGGTCGTGGCGTGTGGCCGTGTCGGAGATAGGCGCCGCCGCATTGCCGCAGGGCCGCCAGGTCGGCAGCGACTAGAAAGGAGGTGGGCACGTCGTGGCGCGAGCGGATTAGCGGGTGGACGTGAGACGTCGGCTGAGGCCGATTGCCGAAGAAGGGTACGTTGCGGGCCTGTGTCATCGCTGCTAGTAATCTTTACTTTTGTGTACTATCACCTCTATTAAAAAAGAATACAATTCTAGATGCATTTTTTAATTAAAGTGTCTAAATTTAAACAAATATATAGATAAAAAATACCATATTTATGACATCACATAAATATACTATGAAAATGTATTTCGTTACGAATAAAATATTAGTAACTTTTTATATAAATTCTCTAACTTTTTACAATACGTAGCTACACATAATCACGTGACTTTACCTAAAGCCACTCGGCATTGTTCAATATATTAATAATTTTCATGAATTTTTTAGTAACTCGACGATTTCCAATCGGCCATGGACTGTTGTATCCATGTGGAAATGGAATTTGAAATTTCTGTCTCACCATACAAAGAAATAACTATGGGCCCAAATAAACATGAGCACCCTGTTAGCAGCCGTTCTGAAGATGGCGCAGAAGGTTTAACTTCACAGCCGGTGCAGGCCCAGGAAGCCAAACCCAAGGATTCGCGGCCCATAATGGACCAGCTTGTTACGAAACGGTGTCTCTCAACGGACACCTTTGTTGATCTCATCAACAACGTCAGACGCCACCAACAGCCTGTTCACGAAGTGATCTCATCCATCAAGTACAAGATTAGTGGATAGGATTAGACAGTTAATTTTACTCACAAAAGACATATTCTTTAGAACAATCTCTGAACAGTTCTTCCTATCTTGTACATTACCTTCACTTCTAACATGTTATCCGCACTCTGCTCTAAAAACGAGAATAGGAGAACGACAGCAGCGGCATGCAGGCCGTTGTACCGGCCTTTGTACCATCCGAGCACTTTATCTAGAACAAGAGAAGAGAACGATAGAGGCAGAGGCCGAGCGAAGATCGCCGGCGACGACAACTACCTACGCAGCGCTTTTTTTTCTCTCGAACGTGCCATAGGCACGGTTTTCATTAAGCAGAAGTAGAGTTTTACAAATTAAAGCCGGAACGGTAATTTTTGATTACCAAGCCAAAGACTGACAGAGATCACACAGTTGTGATTTACAGAAGAAAAAACTTAGCGACCAAGTGAAGGATCAAGCCCCCCCCCCGGAGACCCTGAGCTCAGCGGCTAAACGGGTAAAGAGCGTCGTCCTCGAAGCCAATGAGGTTCAGCTCCATGGCA